TTTTTTTTTTTTTTTTTTTGATTGTTTAGTGTTGGTGTGGCAAACTGCAACTTAGGTTAATGTGCTAGCCCAAGAATTCATGGAGTTCATGAAGGAGGGCAATAGCCTACAGAAGGAAAGTGATAAGCTGTTGAAGAAGAATGGAGATATGAAGAGGGAACCGGATATAGTGGTACCAGCAATGACGAGTTTACAAGAGGAGAGAGACCCACTTAAGACAATTCTTTCATTCGAAGAGAAGAAAAGGAAAATGTGTGAAGAAGAGAATGAAGCACAAAAGGAGGAAATAAGAAGAATGAGAGAATCCGAAGTGGAACTCAAAAAAAATGTCCAGCTATTGGTACACAATGGGATGAAGGAGCATATCAACAACTTTGTCAACTCTAGAAGACCAACCACCTCTTCCAGTAGATCAGGAGCCATCCCAGCCACCTCCTCCAGCAGAATAGTTAGGGATTTTTATTTTTTGATTCATATAGTTAGGATTTGAACAATGATTAATGTAAACATTTTTGATTAATTTAAGGAAAATTTTTGAAATTAGTGTTAATGCTTATTTTGTGCTTTCAATTGTTTTGTATTAATGTAACGATTTAGATAAAGTAAACACTTCGGATATGAACTGAGAAGAAGTAAATAACCTCAGATATGAGTTGAGAAGAAGTAAATCACTTTAGATATGAAATGAAATTCTTTAATAAAAGTGAAGTCCAAGGGCTAGATTTGAAAAAAGATTGACCTCGAATATACAGGATAACAGATGAAATGAATCTCAGAAATGAAAAAGTAATAATTATAAAGAAGAATAAGACGAAGATTACTTGAAAGAAATTTATTAAGGGTAAAATTTCTTCGAGTTATTGATATTTCAGACTCCAGAAACTCGCTTCCTTTCAGCGTCTTGGAGAATATAGGCACCAGGATATGACACTTCAGCCACTGTGTAAGGGCTTTCCCCAATTCGGGGCCATTTTGCCAAAATGAGTTTCAAACCGTATTAGACCAGCCTTTCTAAGAACAAGGTCTCCTACTTTGAATGTTTGAGGGCGGACTCGTTTGTTGTAGAAGTTGGCTAAGTTTTGCTTGTATACTAGAGTTCGAAGTCGTGCTTTTTCTCTGACTTCGGCAAGCAGATCAAAGTTTTCTTGAAACAGTTGTCCATTTCGTCCTTCATCAAAATGGGTTACCCTGAAACTTGGAACTCCTATTTCAATAAAAATGACTGCTTCGGTACCAAAGGTTAGGTGGTAGGGTGTTTCACCTATTTCATTAAGTTAAAATTTTTAGAATAAGCTTTATGTGTTGTGCATATTTGATCTAGGGTAAAGCAGCAGGTGAGGAAGTAAAATAGAATGAAAGTAACTTGGGTTGGAAATAGTACCTGTTACAGTTCGGTTCATTGTTCTATATGCCTATAAAATGTTGTTGAGCTCGTCTGCCCACCTAGCCTTGTGTTGCTCCAACCTCAGCTTTATTCCCTCCAGGATAGCTTTATTGATAGATTCGACCATATCATTGGACTTCGGATGGTATACAGAGGTAAATTGTAGTTTGACCCCATAACTGGAGCAGAATTCTTTAAATGAAGAGCAATTAAATTGAGTACCATTATCAGCTATGATCTGATTCGGGATTCCATATCTGCAGATGATTGAGCTGAAAACAAAGTCTTCAGCCTTTCTAGAAGTAAGACTGGATAATGGCAGAGTTTCAACTCATTTTGTAAAATAGTCAACACCAACGATTAGATGGGTTACACCACCAACCCCTTTCATGAATGGGCCTAAAAGATCAAGCCCCTACTAAGCAAATGGCCAAGGTGCTACTAAGTTGGTGAGCTCTTCTGTCGGTTGGTGAGTTAAATGTGTGAAGAATTGACACTTCGGGCATTTCTAAACAAAGTGAGTAGCATCTTTATACATATTTGGCCAGTAATATCCTTGTCTGAGGACTTTGTGAGCTAAGGTTTTAGCACCAATGTGGCTTCCACATACACCTTCATGTACCTCCTGAAGTACGTACTCAGCTTCATAAGGATTCAAGCATCGTAGGAGAGGGAGTGAGAAAGATCTCTTATAGAGGACTCCATCAACGAGTGTGTATCGAGACGCTTTCTTCCTCAACCTCATCTCTTTTTACTTATCTTCAGGCACTGACCCATCTTGTAAAAAAGAGACAATTGGATCTGTCTAGCTAGGTGTATTCGGGTTTATGCTGATCTCTATCATTTTTGGCTTCATGAAGCTCGGTTCATCTAAAATTTCAACGAAAACTGATCTAGAGCTTAAGGAGCTATCAAGGGCGAACTTAGAAAGTGAATCTGCCTGTTCATTCTCAGTTCGGGGAATTTTGCTCAAACAAAATTTCTAAAACTTTTACTTTAGCTCAACCATGAGGGCCACATACTTCATCATGACAAGATCAATAACTTCGCAAATTGAGTTGACTTGATTAACCACAAGCTGCGATTCACTGTAAACTCTTATGGCCGTGACTTTCAACTCTAACGTGAGTTGCAAACCAAGTAGCAGAGCTTCATATTCAGCCATGTTATTAGTTGCATCAAAGTTAAACTTCAAAGCATGATCACTTCGATATCCCTTTGGGCCAATTAAGAGAGCACCAGCTCTTGAACCCTTGTTACTAGATGCTCCATTAACATATAAGGTCCAGTCGCTAGGCTCAAGGTTAGGGTTTGAGTGACATACGGTGCTCTACTAGTGCTTGAGCTCAGATCGCAGACCTCTGCTGAAATGTTATCTCGAATTCCCTCAATTCTATTGCCCACTTAATTAACCTTCTGGAGCACTCCGGCTTTTGAAGGATCTGTCAAAAAGGTTGGTCTGTGAAGACTATGACTGGATGTGACTGGAAATTTGGTCTAATTTTCTGGCGAAGTAACAACTGCCAACGTTGCTTTTTCAGTAATAGGGTACCTTAGTTCTGTTCCGTGCAGCATGCTGTTGGTATAATATACTGGTTTCTACTATTTGCCTTCTTCTCTCACCAGCACTGAACTGATTGCTTCATCAGAAATACTGAGGTATAAATAGAGAATTTCTCCATCCATAGCCTTTGTCAACAAAGGTGGTGAGCTAAGATAATACTTCAACTCATCAAATGCAGCTTGGCACTCTTGGTTCCATTCAAACTTCTTCTATGTGCCAGATTAATCCTTCTAGGCTGCTGATCGCATGATCTTGAAAAATAGTAGGCACTTATCTGTTGACTTTGATATGAATCTATGAAGAGCTGCCACCTTCCCAATTAATCTCTGTATGTCTTTCACTGACTTTGGTGGTTCCATCTTGGCTATTGCTTTGATCTTTTCTAGGTTAACCTCAATCCCTTTTTGAGAAACCATGAAGCCCAAAAATTTCCCAGACTCTACACCGAAGATGCATTTGGCTGGGTTTAACCGCATTCTGTTTTGTTTGAGGTTGTTGAATGTTTCATCGAGATCAGCTAGATGATCTTTTGCCTTCAGACTCTTCACCACAATGTCATCCACATAAACCTCTAGGTTCCTGCCGATCTAAGCTCAGAAGACGATGGTCACCATTTTCTGGTAAGTGGCACTTGCATTTTTTAAGCCAAAGGGCATCATGACATAGCAATAAATTTTGTCACTAGCATAGAATGAGGTTTTTTCTTCATCCTCTGGAGCCATCGGCACTTAGTGGTAACCAGAATATGCATCCAAGAGACTTAATCTCTCATTTCCAGAAGCCGCTTCAACCAGTTTGTCAATGCTTGGCATCGAATAGCAGTCCTTAGGACAAGCTTGGTTGAGATTTGTGTAATCGATGCACATTCGTCATTTACCATTTGCCTTTTTGACCAACAATGGGTTAGCCACTCATTTACAATAATCAACTCTTCTGACGAAACCAGCTTGTAGGAGTTTCTCTTCCTCTTCTTTTATAACCTGAAGCCTCTCCCCCCCCCAAAGAGATGTCGCTTCTAGGCTACTGGTTTCTTCAATGGATTGGTGCTGAACTTGTGCTAAGATACCGAGGTTGGAATCCCTGGCATATCTGCTAAAGTCCAAGCAAAGACATCTTTGTTAGCTTGGAGGAAAGCTATCAGCTTTGCTCTTTCCTTTGAGTTTAGCCGAGTTCCAATTTGTGTCTTCCTACTTTGATCTCTGTCATCAATTTGCACTTCCTCTACATCCTCAACTGGGTTAGCTCTAGTTTCATCTTCAAGTCGATTGTCCACTATATCAACTCCCATCACTTGCTAAGTATCATGAATTTGTTAGGGAATGGTTTCTAGTATTTGCTCTTTGCCTTTCTGAGGCCTTATAACCGAGGTAATACAGTAATGTCTAGCCACCTCTTGGTTACCTCGTAGTGTTGATATCCCCATGTGAGTTGGGAACTTCATGCAGAGATGAGATTGAGAGACCACAGCTCGGATCTCGGTTAAAGTGGGTCATCCGATAACAACATTCAAAGAGGATGTCATTGTGACAACTAGAAACCGAACTAAAGAGGTAACATAGGTTCGACCACTCCCAAAAACAACATTAAGGGTAAGGACTCCTTTTACCTGAACAGGTTGGTTATTGAATCTGTATATGGGGCCACCATATCTCTACAACATAACTAGATCTAGTCCGAGATTCTCAAAACAGTGAAAAAACATAATGTCTAGTGCACTACTTATGTCAACAAGGACACGTTGTACCTCACAGTTGTTAATCATAACGGAAGTGACCAAAGAATCATTATGAGGTGTGACAATTGTATCAAAATCAGCAGATGTGAAAGTGATGGGTTGATTCTTCCAGTCAATGTCGTTAAACTTTCGTTTTTGAGCTCGGTTTTGATGCTTCACCTCCCTGACATATAATTTTCGTTGTTTGGAGCTCAAACCCCCTGTTTCCAAGCCTCCTGTAATCATATGTATAATTCTGGCTGGTGGTGGGAGTGGAGGTGGGGCTTGTTGATATCCCACGCCTTGCCTGTTGCTTGTATTATGAGATCCTTATGGTTGTGGCCCCTCTTCTCTAACAAACTTTGATTGCTCTATTCTCTAGATGTATTCATTCAGTATTCCCTTATGGGCTAGACTTTCCAACTTAGACCTCAAACTATTACACTGCTTTTGTATGACCGTAATCTTGATGAAAATCATAATATCTAGTATGATCATGTGTAGCAGCGGAACTTCTCATTGGCCCTGGTTGCCTCAAATCCATTTTATTTTTTATTTGCATGAATATTTGTGACCTCGACAGATTGAAAAGAGTCCACGTAACTGGTGCTTTAGTGGTAATTTGCTGGGGGGTACTGAACTCAGCTTTCCGAATCTGGATGTGGAGGTCGACATCGGACCTCAATTCTGTACTATCTTCATCCACTTTCTACTGTGACCCTTATCTCTCCAATCTGGGTTTTGATTCTTGAGAAGAACTGGTTTCTGTGATAGGGCATATTCTTCAGTAGTTATGAATTTCGACGATCTGTCATTGACTTCATTAAAAGTAGTAGTAGGATGCTTAATTAGGTTATCTCTGAATCTTTCGTGTTGAAGACCTTGAATGACAGCCGCAATTCCCACAGCTTGGTTGAATGAACTGACTTCGAGGACTGCATCGTTGAGTCGACTCATGTAATTCTTCAGAAATTCTCCTTCCCTCTGTTTGACTCGCATCATTTTAGAAGTGGTTTTCCTAATCAACCTTCTACGAGAAAACTTTGTGGCAAAAGCAGATGCCATTTCTGAATAGGAGCTGGTAGATCTCAGGGGCAAACTATAATACCAGGTTCGAGCATTACCACAGAGAGTGGAGGAAAAGATTTTGCACATCAATGCATCAGAAGTATTTTGAGCTTGCATACAAGAGTATAAGGCATGGAGGTGACCCTCTAGATCCTTCATCCCATCATATGTCTCGAGTTAAGGTATCTTGAAGCTAGCGGGATAAGGTTCCAATGCGCTGTTAGTGTTCAGAGGATGAGGTATGGAATCAGTGTTATGATGTGGAGGTGGGGCACCTCGTTGCTCGGCTACCAGTTTTTCTAAGCTGTCCAGATGTCGTGTGACATCATCAAGTAGAGGGTGTGGAACTGGGGCTACATGAGACTGAACTTGAGACTCACTGAGAGCAAGAGCATGCTGAATTGGTTGAGGGTCTTGCTGTTGAATAGGGGGTTATTGAGTAGGGTTGAGTAGATTGATGAGAGGTTCACCAGGATTATTCCGAGCTAGGAGCTGAGCCAAAACTAATTGAAGGACACTGAACTGTTGTTGCATGGCAGCAAGCTGAGCTATAACTACATCTTGATTAGCAATGGAAGCTGAGTTGTGAGGTTGGTTTTCATCTCCTCCTTTTGATGATCAACATGAGGGAATAGATTCAAGATCGGAGGTGGGAGGTGAGGTGGAAGGTTATTGGGGAGTTGACCATGACCTTGTCCCAAAGGTTGGGCCTGATTTCTAGTTCGAAGAGATTGAGTGCTGACCATAATGAGAAAGCAACAGAATGACTTTTAGTTCAGATTCCCACAGACGACGCTAATGTAATTGCACCAAACTAGAAGTCCTTCTTCAGTCTGCGTCTTCACTTCGAATGAACCTTCAAAGCCCCGAGGTGGGTCCTTAGGGTAGACACTCCGATACTTAAGTCAGTAATAATCAGATCTACCTTTTTAGAATTATTAAAGAGGAGCTTTAGGTCGGTTTAAATTACCTTTCTGAGGTGGCCCCTGGGGGTATTTATAGGCCTTAGTGAGGTGTCCATGTGGTTTGTTTAACAAGATAATCGGAGTGTGACGTGTCCTTTTAGGTGATAATTTTGGGACCGAAAAATTTTATGTGGTAAATTCGATGTGAGCATGTCCACTGAATTTATCATATAGCCATTTGACAAGGAAGCGCTGGATTTAACTACACCTTGGTTATCAAGGGCTTATAGCAGTACGTCCGAGGTTAAGGACCTCGGACCTATCCTTACAGATAGTAATTATTGCAAGGACCATTATCGCATGATGCTTTCCGGATGTGCAATTCCATACTATCACGGCGCCATGGCACTTGCATGCTTGGAATTATATAAAAGGTTAAATGTTAATTTTAATTTTTTATTTTAAATAATTTTATTTTAAAATTAATTTTTTAATAAATTATTTAATTAAAATAATTTATGTGATATAAAAGGTAATATTAACATCAGTTTTCATATTTTCTATTTAAATTTAGTTGTTTCAGTTTAATATTTATATAAAATTAATTAGATAATTTTCGATAAAAAATGAATAATAATTAAAAAAATTTTCCTTTTTATACATAGATCTTGTCGATAATTTTCACTTAAAAAATTTTCAATTGTTATCTCTATTTACTATATAGAATTATCTAGATAAAATTGATGTAAAAGTCAAATTAAAACAATTAAATTTGATCATAAATCATTTTTAATGAAGATTAATGTCAAAAAGATTATTAATTATTCAATATAATTAGATTTAATTATTTTATTTTATTTATTTGCGATTACCATACAGTTCATTTATTATAATAATAATTAAGACTTATTCTTCTTATTTTCACCCTTACCTATAATTAAATAAAAAAAATCTGAATGCATTTATATCCCTTTGAAGATAAGGGCAAATTTGAAATATTACTAGCACTTAATATTTTATTAAAATAAAAAAATAAAACAATTAAACCAGATCACTTTCATTTAAAAAGTGAAATAGTTAAATATGTTAGAGGGGAGTACATTATTGACTTGTAACCTTAATGGTATGTTCTAATCGAGAGAAATAGAGAGGAGAGGAGGGGAAAGAAAAATTATTTATTTGATTATTTAAAAAAATTAGAGAGGAGGAAAGGAGAAAAATTTTTCTCTATTTTTTCTTTTAATTTAATTATTTATTCAAATTAAGGGAAGGGAGGGGAGGGGAAGGGAGGGGAAGGAAATATAAGAAAATGAAAAGAAAAAAAATTCCCTTTCTCTCATTTCTCTTCTTTTTCATTCTTTTCAACCCAACTATAAGATAAATATAAGCTAAATAATCCTTATAAAAATACCTCGGCCTACTTTGATCATTGTTTCTTATCCTATAAATTTATATAAATTTATAATAGATCATTGGAATTATGATAAATTTATTTTAGGCTCAATCTTAGTAAAAATTTCTCAATTTTATAAAAGAATCATTCTTGTCCCTCTATTTTAACAAATTTTGTAAATATCTTTGAACTTTAAATAAAAGGCCAAGTATCATCTTTTTACTCACAAAAACCATACTGTCAATTAACAAAAACTTAGTTAAATTGATATTTATTAATATAAAAATTTTAATTTAAAATTAGGATGAAAGAGTTAAACTTGTAAAACACTAAATAAAAGGCCAAGTATCATCTTTTTACTCACAAAAACCATACTGTCAATTAACAAAAATTTAATTAAATTGATATTTATTAATATAAAATTTTCAATTTGAGGACAATTAAATTAAAAATTTATCTCCAAATCAAAAAAATTTTATATTAGTGGGTATCAATATTGAAAACTTTAAGCTTTTAGTTTCAATAAATTCAAAAACTTGTTATCTTTTCCTCCATCATGCTCACAAAACCTGAGTTGAAATCTAGAGTTAAGGCTTTGTTCACGCAATTGCTTAAAATGATAGATTCGTTAGAAGTAAAGTTAGAAGCTAAGTTTAATTTCAGAGGAGATAGCTTGTTCAATTTCTTTGACAATCACCATCCATACATGGTAGTACCAAATGGGTTTTGATTTAGCATTATCAAAATTTTGAAAACCAGACTATGGAAATAATATATCCCGATACTAAATATATAGATCATAAGTGATGATACAGGTGTGATGATGTCTTTGTTGTTCCTTAAACACTTTCCTCTATCTCCACGTC